GGATTTCCCAACTTCCCCAACTTATTTGTTGGGCACATACAAGTAAGCTTACTCATTCATGTTAAAAGACTCTTTTACCCTCTAACAAAAATAAGTAGACATATGGTATATATATGAGGGTTTTCTTGTTTGGATTATTTCGCTCGACGTACTATGTCTCGTGTTACAGATTTTTAAGTATTAATTCCATCTAGTTGTATGACCCTAGTTATTTGCATGATTAGTCTGATCGTTATATTCTAGTGGTGGATTGCATTTAGATTATGAATACAATACTCAAAAAAGCATACATCATAAATTTCCATTCTCCATGATCATCTATTGCTTGAAGCCTGTATCAATAGGCACTGCTAGCTTGAAAAGTTACAACAACGCAGCTTGCCCATTTCAAGGTATCAACTAATAATCAAGAAAAATAACGAAATCTACTTCTTTAGTGATGGAACAAAACTGAACTAGTTAATATAAAGCATAAATAATAGAAAAGATCAAGATCTACTTCTTTAGTGATGGAACAAAACTGAACTAGTTAATATAAAGCATAAATAATAGAAAAGATCAAAGATCAAAACCTGCAGATGAGTGCAAAACTGAACTAGTTAATATAAAGCATAAATAATAGAAAAGATCAAAGATCAAAACCTGCAGATGAGTGAAAAAAAAATAAGTCTGTGATCAGCTTCTCCGCTCAACCAACCATCAAAAATACCAAGACAGATAACACACGATCATTGCTCCTTTTCAGATCTATGTCCTCGGCATCTTGGGTTTGCTCTTCTTCATTCCAGCAGAACCCTCCACCTTCTTCTTCTTCTTTATCCTCTTCTCAGACAATTCATTGACTACGTTCCCCTCTTCGACATCTTCATCACCCAAATCTTTCACTTCCTTCGCTTTACCACCCTTCCTTGCTTTATTCTTCGTCCCCAATTCATCATTCAAGGCCACGTCAACATCATCTCTCATCTTCTTTAGTTTCCTCTTCTTCGTTCCCTCTGATGCTACAATAGAATCCACTTCCATCTTCTTCTTCTTCTTCTTATTCTTAACCTTATTCTCACTCAATTGATTGTCAGCATGCCTCTCTTCATCACCATTCAGCAAAGCACTACCCTCCTCATCTTCAGTCACCATTAATCGGTCGCCTTTAATCTCCGACCCCTTCACCCTCTTCTTATCCTCGTCCTTCTTCAACTTCTTCTTCACCCTTTTCTCAACACCCACATCTTCATCAATCTTCCCCTTCTTCACCTTCTCTCTCTTCCTCTTCTTCTCCCCTTCCTTCTCATCCCAAACCCCCTCAATCTTCATCCCAATCTCCGGAACCTTCTGATAAACCGGCAAAGCCACCGAATCCGCCGTCTTAACGTGCACCGACCTCAAATTCTTCCACCCCCTTGGCACAGCCTCCATCGCCCCTTCAACCGCGGCCATCGCATTCTCCACAATCTCATCCAAACTCTGATTCACCCTCCCAATCTTCAACCCGCTACAGCTCCCAGACCTCAAATACAACAAGCTCGAACCGCACCAGCTCTTAATTTGCTCAACCCAGCCAACCCTACTAAAATCCACAGCCAAAGGAGTCTTCTTTCGTTTAAAGAAGTGCTTACCCAATAGCCTCGGCAGCAAAGGCAGGAGCTTTCGTTCGGCGAAGAAGAGGTCGTATGAATCGCAGAGCTTGCGGCGGGACTCAAAGGGTTTGTAATCGGACTGGAGCTCCGACAACCCGATAACGGAGGAGATCGGCAGGCTTAGG